TTCAATCAGTTCTCGGCCCGTCTTGCTGCCAGCGTGGGCAATTATCTTCGCGACTGCGAAGTTGAACTCGTGACCCGTCTCGTAGGTGTGGGCCACCACTTGCGATAACGTGTCACCCCGTTTTGTTTTCTACACACACCACAACTAGCTACCCCATGTGTTGCTGTTTCCCATCTCTGATGATGGACTTCTGCAGGAGCCCGAAAGCTCAGACCAGTAAAATCATGATTCCGGTGTTCACAGAGCTTCTTCTTCTTCTTCTTCTCAAAATATGCACGTACCTGTAATGCGAACATTTGCCTCAATTCGTGAGAAATATTTAACAAACCATAATGCTGCGTTAGGCCATGCAGCCGAAAAAATTAACAGAATGTTCTTCTGCTGCTTTCCATCGACGTTTGTGATTAACTATTTCGTAACAGATTGCTATGGAAGTAGGATGCTCACTGATCCATCTGATTAGGGAACATACTTATCCCGTTGTGCCTTGAGGCCCTTTCTAGAGTGATGGCAGGCAGTCGCTTAGCGACGTCAGACAAATGATGGAGTGGAAACGATAAAGACAAGGGAGACCGGAATGGCTATTTGTGGCTTATAAGCTGTCATCAGCCAGTCATACCCAATCCCAGGTGTAAATCATCCGGGATTCGAACCCGGAACCTTTGGTCATTGAACATGATACTCTATCACTGCACGATGGGCTCGTTGTTTTCGCGGTTCCGGTCAAGTATATGATGAAAGTAGGGTACTTATCGATCTATCTGATTAGAAACAAGCCCGTGGTACGATTGTAGGGTGGTAAACTCAATGACCAAAGGTCCCGGGTTCGAATCTCGGGGGTTCCAATCATTAAAATTGAGCATGACTGGCTGATGAAGGCTAATAGGCCAGAAATGGCCGTTCCGGTCTCCCTCGTCTTCGTCGGTTCAACTTCAGCACATTAATATTACTAGAGCATATGGATTTCATCCAATCTCACGTCTGCGCGCCCCTGTCTACTCTTAGTCATATCCAGCCGAACCGCCATAGCCCTGCCGCATTGTCGACACAGGCTCTGCCCTACTGGTTTCTTGCAGTAACGTGAATTGGCACCGATTCTACTCTGGCAGATGACGCACCCTGAGAGCGGTGATCTTGCAACACGCAGCCGAGTGAATCAGTGACAATGAATGCCGCCTAAAGCGCACAAATAACAGAGAGACTGCGCGGCATCAACCTTTGTGGTCTTGGTTAAGGTCAGGCCTGCTTTCTACCCGCATAATGTTTCACTATCGTTGAGAGCCAAGGTCGCCACTATGGTAGCTCATACGGCTTTCCAACGAAATGCCGCTACACCCATAAATTATTTAAAAGTTGGCACAGAGTTCGCGAGCTCAATTACATTTAAGGTATTGGGACAACCAAATAAGCAGCAACTACGGCAGACGTGTTGGCATGTTCTGAGTGAAGTGAAACAAAGTTTATTATATGCTTGCCATAGGCTGGCCATGTCGGCCTTCTTTGATTATCTTCACAGTCCGTGACGCTATCCAGGATATCACTGTCGTGAGTTGCTTTCACTCTACATGAAGTCCGCAAATAAGCAAAACCTTTTGACACTGAAGAGTACATGCCAAGTTGCTGACTGATGCCTCGATACAGAAGTAACCCAACAAATGAAAATGGACTTTTTGTTAGTATAAGCAATAGTCTTTAAGGGTCTTCACAGTCAATATAATTTTGCCGTTCTTCAGAGGGCCCACTAGCGTTCTCGATTTTTCTGCATCTTCCATGTAAAAGATGTATGGACGTCGCTTTCCTAGATTAGATAACAATTTATTAGAGGTACCTCCAAGGAGACCGTAAGTCCGGAATTCTATAATACGGGAACGGTGGTAATAGGGGTTACAAGGGTTGGACTTAACGGGCTTTCAGTTTATTTGGTGAGGATAATAGGCAATGCTGTGCAGTAGAGAAAATAAGGAAAGTATTTCAAACGAAACCACAAAATAGAAGATAAAATTATTATAAAAAAATCAAATATAGCGGCCAAAATGCGGGCGTTAATTAAAAAAACAAATTAAAATAAATGGTAAAAAGTTGAATAACTTAAATAACATTAATTGATAAGTACTAAGTTTAAAATAAATTACCATTACCACAGGTCTCGTATTACAGAACTCTGGGGTTTTGGTTTTTGTTGTGGTCGGTACCTATAATAGGCTGTTACCTAAACTTCTTGTCAGCATTATTGATGTAATCTTGAACAACATTTGCTTATAGAGTATCAAAAGCGTCTTTCAAGAGTCTTTTCGGAAGTCCTGACAGCCTGGTGCATTATGCTTCATTGAATAATAGTTTAACTTTGGCGGACCACTTACGTCTACATCCCATCCCTTAAATGAAGCTAACTACAGAAGCAAAATTAAATGCTTCCACCCTAACAGCTGATTCATTTGTGGGAGCTGGATTTGCCTCAGTTGCATTAACGTGGCTAGCCAATCTAATGCGTCAGTCAACAGGTTTATTGATTTTTAACTGTCGAAAACGACGTGCGCTGTTGGGTGCTCATAGTTGGCGCCTTGCTTTGGGTGGAACACATCACTTTTTCTGACTGCGCTCCAGCCTTCTTGCAGAATTAACCCCCGGTGGCGACTTATCTTGCCTTCAGCTGCTTAATTGGACCTCTCCCCGGGCTTTTGATATTTAAGACACCCCCATTAACTGATGTTTAACACACGGCTAAAGATACGAAAGGCAGATAACTGCAGATATGAAGACTGTTTTGCTACTGTTTTTCTAATTAATACTGAAGCCATTTCCAACTGAAGCCAGAAAGTGCACATCTAAAAAGCCCGCAACCCTCTTAACAGCAATAGTTTTTTTAACATAAATATTGTAAGTAAGAACATTTGGAGGTTTTAAATGCTTTTGAACTAATGTATTGTATTTAAAGAAAGAGGGGATGTGCATGCCTGCTTTAAGCTCTTCTCTTTAAAATTGCTTTGCCCTCTCCAAAACTCCAAAATGTCCAGCTCTGTAGAGAGTGTTTTTTTATTTCTTTCATAAACCACAGTCGCGAACCTCGAGAAGGAGTAGCTACATCCTTATCAAAAATCTTGGTCTGTTTTTCTGAAAAAGAACTTTTAATTGGCCTTGAAATCATGCTGCCTTTCAGCCTGCCATAGCATGGCAAAGTGTCTTTATTATGTGGTAGTAGTTCGTAAAATTTTCCTTTCAAAACACCGATTTTATTACGCTGACGTTGTCTTCATCAATATACGTTTAGTGAAGGATAATAAGGGACTAAACTCGGCCATCGTCTGCTATCTAGTACTCTGATTAATTTTCGCGAATAATGATCTCCCAGTGCACTTCCGGGACCACATCTTCCTACTTCTGTTCGTTCTTCTTCGCCTTCTTTCTTATCGTCAACTTCTGCCAACACCACCATCGCCTTCTTTCCTATCCTCGCCTTAGTCTACTTTTTCATTCAGAGGGTATCTCAATACCTGTCATTTCTGCCTCTTTTAGACTCCTTTTCGGTGTGACTGGACCTGAAAAGCTGGGAATTAGAGATGAACTGAGAGTTCGGATGGGTTTGCAATCTGAGCAGGAAGTGGAGGGTGCGGCCTTTGCTTTCCATCCGGTACTCCTATCAAGTGACAAAGAAATTCCCCCAAGGGGCATTGTGAAACACGTGGAGGCGACCGATAACACGCTGCTGTCAGGAGTGGCCTTCCGTAGCGCGCACGACCTTGACTTGATGGCAGATGGATCAGCACTCTTTGTCGCTGAGCTAACTCCACCATTTGTCTCGAAGCTAAACATTCGAAATTCTGGTAGGTCCTTGCTGGTGACTAAATATTTCTTTATTTTCTTTCTTTGATTCGCGAACTTTTAAAATGTACCTCTTTTATGCACTGAAAGGGCGAATAGGTTCGTTGTTTGTAGAAAAACAATAACGGAGTACAATAAATTCAGGCTCCTAGAGCGGAGCTGGCATTGTGAATTCAGCTGCCCTTGTCACGAAGGTCTTCCCACCATCTGCTCATTTTCTCACTTCCCATGTTAATGGCGGGTAAACTGACTAAAATGTAATTTAATTTAGCCATTCAAACTTTCGGCTACTCGGTACGACTTACTTTAGTCAAAAACCACCCCAGTCGTTTATTCCGTCATTGTAGGTGGCAACGTATCTGGATACCGTTCAGGAAAAATTAATCGTCAAAAAATATTTTTTAGCATGTGGGCAGGAATTTTAATGTACAACTGAAAGCAGATGAAAAGACACCCCGGTTAACAGTCCAGTGATCTCCTGAAAAATAATATTGATCTTTAATTTATTTTATTTGTTGGTAGTAACGTTTATATATTTGTTGATTTACTTTTGTTTTTAGTATATTTATTTTTTTACTCCTTGTTTCTGATTGCCGGCTGCCTGTGATTAGTCCAATTAGTCTATTCCGCCTTTCTTAGTTTTGAAATTGGATGCTCGAGTTTTCATTGGTTTCGGGTCTACTTGAACAAGATGATGGTGCGAATGCCTACTATTACCACTCCCTATACTAGGCCTCCTTGCTTCTCATTTAATGAGTGTGGGTAAATATGATACCTTTGCCGTTTTTCAAAATCCTAGAATGCCTGAAATGACCACACTTAAGGAGGAACTTCGGTAATAAAAAAACCGTGATAAAAGCTGTAAAACAATACATGGTACTAGCCAATAACGGTTTTTAACTTATAAACCTTACTCTAGACTCGCAATGATTCTCTAACTGGGGGGATACTGCAACTTCTAAGAGAACATGTGGTTAGTTTGTAACATACACGCCTTTAAGACCGATGCCGCTCGACTTTTAAAAAGCCTCAAGCCGCGATAATGAATCACACATTCTTGCGCATTGTCATGCGCAGATAACTCATTTCTTCTTTGGTTTTCAGTGGGCGCGCCTAGCTCTAGCCCGATCATATGACCTTAACATGAAGTGTGTCACCAACTTCAAGGTTCGTATGAAAATGGCATGGTAAGGTAGTCAGGTTGACAGGGGAGGCATTTGCACGTTATGCCGAAGCGGGGCCGCAAATACGGGTAAATAAAGCAACCTAAGAGTTTAGCTCACCGTTCAGCATTAACATATGCAACCTAACCTCAGGCTTTTCTATGAGTTTTCTGTCACAAGATCGTGCGTCTGACTGCAAGAAATATATTATGCAAAAAGGGTTACTTAAAAATATGCACCCTTCACATTGATTTGCAATGCCTTTATAAATGCAAACATACTTTATTTAAAATACATGCAAAATTGTTATTCGTCGTATTCGTTTGATAGCACATTCCATTGTCTTCAAATGTTATACTCAGCTAAAGGGTATCCATGGTGCCGTCCTACTTAAGATATTTAAGCATAAATTGGACGTGAAGTTAATTAATTTTTTGGTTTTTGAGGTCCCACCCTTAAAACTGTCATTACAACCATTCCCGTTTTACTCGAGCTAAAATAACCTACCGTTGCCAAGAACGTAATTAGATGAGCCTGGGGAACAGTTTGCTTTGAAAATGGGTTGAGTTTGGACTACACGACCCTCTAGCCACCTATGTAAGTTACACTTGGAAAAAGGCGAGTGACAGCAATGGTATTTATGCCTGTTATTGGAATTCATGAGTGCATAAATTCAATCAACATTTTCGAAACTGATGCACGAGCATTATTTTTGCAACACTATGCATTTGTATAGAGTTAGCGAAATTTATATCGTAGAAAAGGTCCAACATGTAGTTTTGTAGGGGTCTGAGAAGTGTTTGTACTCGGATCACTACACTCATCAGGTCGAAATCCCAGGCTGGACGTTAAAGGACAGAAGTGACAAGAGTGGTTTATTGTGTACAGAAATCCCAATTGCTGTCTCACATGGCAGTGGCCACTGGCGAAGCCAGTATTGGTGTTGACTCCGTCCAGCCAGGCCTGAGAGAGCATGAGACAGTGGTGGCAGCTGCCTAAGTAGGATTATGAAGCGAGTTCAAGTGGTTTGCTATTGGTATGTCGCAATTTGCCCGAGGGGATGTCGCCTGTGGAGGTCTTTGCTGCGTCGGCCGATTCCAGTGGCCCTTAGGCAGGCGTGCTTATTTGGGCGCGGGTGTGTGCGTGACTGACTATCGGTCAAGAGGTCTTCAGGTCAGCGAGTAGAACAGCCGCCTGCGAAGACACACGACGTTAACGCAGTGAGTATTGGGAGGGAAAACAGCATTAATGGCCGTCCGCCACAGTTTAAAAGCCTCAGTGCCGTGTTTCAAAATATACCAGCATTGGTTAAGTTTGTAAATCCAAATGTCCCTTTTATATGACTCATTGAATGACGACTGTATTTAATGTAAAGTAACTAGACTGGAGGACTTGCGTGGTATCCCTTCTCTGCAATACGATTGAAACCATGAGTCCCTAAACATTCCATAGAAAAGATGAAATTTAATAAGGTTCTCGGCATTTTCCGAGGGAAACTTGCACAACATGTCACTGTAATCGTTCATAATTGAAGCTCCAGCAAAAATGTCGGTCAGTAGCTTCCGTCTCTCGATCAATATTATTTATACGTTCCAAGTTTTGGAAGCAAACTTGCTCTGAACTCTTCTGACTTACGCTTATATAATCACTTTAGTGGGAGAGTTTTGAACAGACATGTTCCAAATGTGTTGAAAAAAGGATGTTAAGTCTAAGCGAAGAAGAATTAAGTCAACCCCAAAGACACTTTTACAAGTCGCTAAGCTACACACAGAGTCCTTAATTATCCAATGCTAGCTCTATGTGTCATTAAAAAAACAATCTACATTATTTAAGATTTTGTAGTCTTACTATCTTTGCATTTGTGACGCCTGTTTACTGCAACACCCTATTCAGGTGCCGGATACAGTCCTGTCGGGAGTAATTCCAGTTTACAGTCTCGTGGGACCACCCTACAGCCCCAGCCCTCACCCTCGGGCCGCACATTCTTACATAAACTCCTGATCACTGGTCTGTTAGGCCTCCTCTGCCTCACTGTTATGATAATTTCTGTGCTCCTGGTACGAGCTCGACACCAAGACGTTTGGTCTATAAGTAAACGCGCCACCTGGATGCGACGGACACGGCATTACGGCGGTGGCAAGCACAGCGGCAAAACTCGACGCTATGGCCGAGACGAGTTCAGGCCACTCAACCAGGAGGATTCGCACGGTCTCGACTCGGATGGAGATGATGACGTCGACGCCGATGATGCCGACACCGTTATTGACATTCGTAGA